GATGTTTTCCCACATGATAGTCTAGTTTTGGTCCTGCCCTTTGCCAAGACTGTGGGTTCCCCAAGGTGAGTTATGCCCTCTCCTGCAGGCTGTCTTTGACTGCGTCGTGACTTCTCTCAAGAATGTCTTCAATATCCTCATCGTCTACAAGCTCTTCATGTTCATCTTTGCTGTCATTGCTGTTCAGCTCTTCAAGGGGAAGTTTTTCTACTGCACTGACAGCTCTAAGGACACGGAGAAGGACTGCATGTAGGTGCCCTGTTCAGTAGGTCCGATGCTGCTGACACCTCTGGCAAAGGCAGGGTGCTGGGTAATGTCTTCTATGGTTCCCAGTAAGTCCTTGGTCATGACTCACTCTTGGCCGTAGTCTCTTGGGGTGGATAGCATGGGCTGTTCCCATTGCTGTATCAGCACTGTGCATCCTTGCATGGGATGCGAGATGCAGAGCCCTGTATTTTGCTCCTGTTCTCTTTCTGCCTTCTCTCTTCCCATTTGCTTTTCCCTGTTCTGCTTCCCCTGGGTTGTTATCCTACCTCTCCCCATTTTTCCCTCCAGCCTTGCAGGAGTAGAGGTGCCCCCCCACCGTGCACACACACTGTCCCACGGTTTAAAGCCATTGTCTCATAGTCTGGCAGCTTAAAAAGCAAGGTCACTGCTGTCTCCCAACCTTTCAGAGGGAACTATGTGGACCATGAGAAGAACAAGATGGAGGTGAAGTGCCGGGAATGGAAACGCCATGAGTTTCACTATGACAATATAATCTGGGCTTTGCTCACCCTCTTCACAGTCTCCACTGGCGAGGGTTGGCCCCAGTGAGTATTCTGCTTCACCTGCCCCCTTGAATGGGGGTGGTCGGGCTAATAACTGACTACACCCAGGCAGGATTAAAAGAGGAACTGCTGGTCAGGGAGGAGGAAAGGAAGGGTGAGAAATTATGTCAGGACAAAAGAACTTTTAGCCCGCATGGGGCTGTGGATAGGTTGCTTCTTCCTTGGGAAGTGAATGATGGATAATCCCTTATCCTGTGTGGCTCTGAGCAATATTTTAGGTCAATTTTAGAAATGACCATAGGACTAGACCTCTCTCTATGCTCATGTGAGCTTGGGCAGTCTTTTTATTGTGCATAGAGCACAGGAAAATCCATTTTCCATCAGGGGTACAGGCAAAGCACAATAAAACAAGCTGTAGCCACTTACAAAGATTGTCCTTATAAAGCAGATTCAGATAGAGCTTTATCTTGTCATTGTTACAACTGTGGACAGACAGAGCTGGCTGTAGGAAGTGGGTCCTGTGAGAAGTGCCACATGGTGGCCGTCCTGATGGGCATATCTCTGGTTGCTTTTCCTCACCTGTCTGCCCACAGGGTGCTGCAGCATTCGGTGGACGTGACAGAGGAGGACCGTGGGCCCAGCCGCAGCAACCGCATGGAGATGTCCATTTTTTATGTCGTCTATTTTGTGGTCTTCCCTTTCTTCTTCGTGAACATTTTCGTGGCTCTCATCATTATTACATTCCAAGAGCAGGGAGATAAAATGATGGAGGAGTGCAGTCTGGAGAAGAATGAGGTATGGTCTGGTGGGGGGGTAAAGGGGACGTTTCCATGGGGTTTCTGCAGGTTTGGGAGCTTGGAGCTCCCTAGATGTTGAAAAGGTATAAGAAACTTGTGAGCCACCTGCCTGCCCAGCCCATGCAGAAAGAAGTATGGCAGCCACCATCCCCCATGTTACTGTCGGCCAGGGTCTGATGCACATTGTTTTATTCCAGAGGGCCTGTATTGACTTTGCCATCAGTGCCAAGCCCCTCACGCGGTACATGCCCCAGAACCGACACACCTTCCAGTACCGAGTCTGGCACTTCGTGGTCTCCCCATCCTTCGAGTACACCATCATGGCCATGATAGCGTTGAACACTGTGGTGCTGATGATGAAGGTGAGCTGGCCAGAGTGAGCCTGTCCTGTCTGGGGCAGTGGGGAGAAGGAGGATGGGACTGGAGGGTATTTTGGTTGTTTCTAGGAGATGTTTTGAGGCAGAGTCTGAGCATGTGTTCCTTGGCATAGTCACTTGGAACTCCACATGCCCCAAACTGGAAGCAAGATGTTCCCTAAACGAGATGACCCAAACGATATGGACTTCTTAACTACTGCAGAAAGATCTGGATTTACTCCATGCTTCCTTCTGAGAAGGAGCAGCAGCTAGCCTGGGAGAGGTGTGGAGAAGGGAAGGATGAGATGGTCTTGAGGAAAGGAATATATATGATCCACCACAGGTCTTCCCTGGGATGGTCTAGCCAAGAGGCTGGCAGGCCCCATCCTGGCTAGCAATGTCTCTCTCTTTCCATCAGTACTACTCTGCTCCATACACCTATGAGCTGGCCCTGAAGTACCTGAACATCGCATTCACCATGGTGTTCTCCTTAGAGTGTGTCCTCAAGATCATAGCTTTCGGCTTCCTGGTGAGTGGCTGCTCCTGTTCTTGATGAGGGTGTTAATTTGGACTTTGGCAGCACACAGATCACAGAGGAAAGGTGTTAATAATGTGGGGTTGTTGCTATTTATTTTGGGTCCCAGACTGAGAGCTGCTTTTAGGTTGGAATCACTTCTTTGGTTCTCGTTAAATTTCTCACTGCTGGATGCTGGTGTGGGAGGCCACAGCATTGCTTTGCTTTTTGCCTTGTTTCTGCGGTACTCTAGTGCCTGGACCCAGAGTATGTTCTGTGCAGCTGCTCTGCTAAAGCCAGCTGCTGCTGCAATCATGCTGGTGGCTGCAGTCCCTTGACCCCAGGAGCCATGAGATGCTAGTGCATTGCTGTCCTTGGGCTGTATCAGTTGGACCAGACCTGACCAGCAGTGAGACCAACCTGCCTCATTCAGTCTTCAAGTCCCCAGCTGCTCATTTAAGACTTGAAGCCATGGACTGCCTTTTCCTCAGCTACTCTTTGCTACTTATGAGCAACTGTTGCATTTGCTCTGTTATATTTTCTTTCCTGTTTGTAACACATACTGGGAAGTGAGGTCCACTAGGAGGAGGGTTTCTAGCTCATTGCTCCTAGCAGCACCAGCCATGGTGAAGTCTGGTCTTGTACCAGCTGCTGCAAAACCAACAGAGGCTGAGATGGGTGTGGGTGCCCATGAAGAGGAGGGCAAAGCAGCCTCATGGCTGTGAAGATCAGCTTGATGAGCTTTTGCAGCCTGACCAGGGCTGGCTGTGGCTGCTTTTCCCACTCCCTTTCGCCGGGGTGACCCTGTTGGATGTGTGAGCCATCTCCCAGGAGAAGATACTCACTGCAGACACTCTCGAGTCTGCCACCATCTCAGAGGCAGGAAGGTGCTCCAGACTGTGGTGGCATACAAATGGGCAGCCAAGTCTCTGCTGCTGCTGCCGTTGTCCATGAGCAGCCTTGGTCTGTGGCCCAGCATCCTTCAAACTTGCCATCCCCAAACTCAAATCTATGTTCCCTCTTTCCTTCCTTGTGCAGAATTATTTTCGGGACACCTGGAACATATTTGACTTCATCACTGTCATTGGCAGCATTACAGAGATCATCCTGACAGACACCAAGGTGAAGCAGGGGCTGGGAGCAGTAGGGTGTACTGCTGCAGGGTGGGGGGCTCCCGCTTCCTTCTGACTTTCTCATCTCCTCCCAGCTGGTGAACACCAGCAGCTTCAACATGAGCTTCCTAAAGCTCTTCCGGGCTGCTCGGCTCATCAAGCTGCTGCGCCAGGGTTACACCATCCGCATCCTGCTCTGGACATTTGTGCAGTCCTTCAAGGTAAGTCACACGTGGCCTGGTCTCATCCCAGGCCACAGTGCTGGGGTGCTGCTCCCGAATGCAGGCTGTTCCCAAGGTCTTGATGACTTGTTGGCTTGTAGGAGAGAGAGATCAGCACAGCTTACCTGCTCACTGTGCTTTTTGTACTCCTCTGGAGCTGAACCTGTGCTAAATGAAATCACTCATCTGCTTCTCTTGCAGGCCCTCCCCTACGTCTGCCTCTTGATTGCCATGCTTTTCTTCATCTATGCGATCATCGGGATGCAGGTGAGCACAGACATCTCAGTACACATCCCTCTGGCACGGGCAGGCTGGACCAGCATGTCCTCAGCATTACGTATGGCAGGCAGCCTTGTGCCTGCCTGTCGCTTCACTTGGTCACTGTGTCCAGGAAGGTCCTGAGGGTGGAACAGCTTGTCTTGGAGCTGTGGAGCCACATCCCCTGGAGGAGCTGCCACAGGCTTTTTTTGTTCAAACCCACCACCCGCCTCTCCAATT